GCCGCCGCGAATGACCTCGGCGGCGGGTGGCGTCGCGCCGGCGCTGGCCCGAGCCGCCGCCCCCTCCTCCTCAAAGCTCCCCAATGCGGCGCGGCTAAAGAAGGGCAAGACATCGGCGAAGAAAAACAAGGTGGCGGACTGCTCCGGCACCTCCAAGGCGAAGAGGAAGAAGCTTACGGGGCGTGCGACGGGCGCGGCGGCTGCCGAAGCGCCGGCAAGCTCACTCGTTGAGCCGGCGGCCAGCGCGCACAACATGTTCGACGAAATGCCTCCAAGGTAAAAAAAATTCTAACTTTTCATTTTTTTGTTATTTTTTGAATGCATTCGTCACATATAGATAGCTTATTTGCATTGTGCAAAAAAAATTGTAGTCTCAATGATGATTCATACATGTCAACGATGGGTGTTGGCTCCAACAATTCGTATTGGTCTCAAACCAATGACATGCATTTTGAAGACCATGAGTTCGAGGTGGACGAGGAGGCTGAGGGCATTGTCGACGCACCGAAAGGAAGAGCGGGCAATTACACCAACACCGATGACATCTTACTATGCAATACTTGGTTGCAAGTGTCGAGGGATCCATCCGTTGGAGGCGATCAAAGTAGAGATGCTTATTGGAACCGGATGAAGGAACACTTTGATGCTCGCAACGTGAGTGGAATTGACCGCTCCAACCGATCACTTAGGTCCCGGTGGTCGACAATCAACTCAGATTGTCAAAGATGGGCGGCTTGTCAAAAGGCGGTTGACAAGTTGAACCCAAGTGGCACAAATGAGGACGATAGAGTAAGTGCCATTTCATCTTACATGTTGGTGCTAAACTTGCTTTGTTTTGCTTGTTGTTGGTGCTAACTTGCTTTGTTTTCATGTAGTTCAACATTGCGCAAAACTTGTTCAAAGAAGAGGAGAGGAAAACCAAGAAGGAGAAGATCAAGAAAGGAAGGGTCTTTACTTTGCCTCATTGCTATGATGTGTTGAAGGATGATGAGAAATGGAAGAAGCGTGAAGATTTGGATGATTTGCATTTGAGCGACAAACGGAAGCGAACAATTAAGTTGGATGATGATGATGATGAGGATGATGCATCAAGTGATGACGGCAAGAGAAGCCCTACACCCAACTCGGTTTCATACTCGAAGCCAAAGCGACCGGATGGGTGCAAGAAAGACCAAACCCAAAAGAAAAAGAGGAAAGGAGATGATGAGCTCAAAAATGCTATGGAAGCTATTGTGAAGGCAAGAAAAGAAGCCAACGAGGTGAGGAAAATGGCAAGGACCCAAGATGCCGCGGCCGGGGAGAGGAGGTTGGCGGCCGAGGAGAGGAGGGTGGCGGCCGAGGAGAGGAAGGTGACCAATGAGGAGCGAACTAGATTGTTGGAATGGGAGAAGCACTTGTTCTTCTTGGACACCACTAACCTCAATGCGGTGCAAAAGAAGTATGTCAATCTTGCCCAACAAGAAGTCTTGATCCATAAAAGAGCCATGGTTCGTGCAATGGGTGGCGGTGGCCTCGGCGCCATGGGTGGCTTCGGAGGTACCGTGGGCGGTT